TAAAATTAATTGTAATAATATACTTTATTTAAACAAATTATCTAAAATAATATCATTTAATTTTTTTCTTAGTAGAAAAAATTTCCAAGATTATTTTATACATTTTCAATATCAAGTCTGCAAAATTTTGGATATATTTTACACTTCCCACACACCTCAATTCATCTGCTTAATTTTTACCAGAAATACTTGATCAGTATTTGCATTTTATTAAGTTTGCCGTAGAAAAGAGGTTCACTTGCCTGAGTTATTTAAAACATACTTAAAATTTTGCCAATAACTAAATTAGGTTTTTGGTTCTTAAATTTTTTTTAAATTACTGTCATTTCATATATATGTATATATGAATTGATTTACATATAGTAGTTGTACATCTTTGCAGAAAACTGTGTTTTTTTTTTTTTGGAGAGATTTTCACTGTAGGGCGCGTGCGCTCGCCAGACAGACAGAGAGACATAGAGACAGAAAGCGAGAAATCACCCCCAGGGGGGATGGCCATGCCGCAATCCCTTCTCCTCCATTCTCCTCTCGGGATCTTAGGCACGCACGCACACGCGCCCGGCGTGAGTTTTAAGCCACCGGGTCCGGGACACGAACCGCGGTCAACCACGTGGGAGTCCAGCGACATAGCCATTACGCTAACTGCTGGTTCCCAAAACTGTGTTTTTTCAAAACATATGTACAGTGTATAATAACCAAATTGAGGAAATACACATATTTACCATCTCCAGAGTTATCATTATTTTGTGTTGAGCATATTTAAAATTTGTTCTACTGGTTATTTGGAAATGTATATTAAATTGTCACCCATCTTGTTTACTCTACTGTAAGTTTATATTGGTAAAAGTTAGATAAGATTAAAAATCAGGTTTTTAGTCCCTCTGGCCACAACTGAGTCATATGTGCTTAATGGCTACTGTATTTGATTTCACAGTAGTAAACATTATATATAAATATATAAAATATGTTATATAAATTCATATACATACAATATAAATGATGTACATATGTATATTTGTATACATGTATATATAAACTGTGTATATAATATACATGAAATACATATGTATATTTTCTTATTTATCTTTTGCAATACCTTCATGTGTAGGTATTCCATTGTGCCTAGGAGACTGCAGAGATGTAGAGAATGTAGATGCTTAGATCAGATCACACAGCTGGTGGTGCTGCATTTGAAGAGAGCTACGTTTGTCTGACTAAAAATTCTGGCCCTTCCCATTAAACTTTTTGTACCTTAATATTTTTTAATTGAAGTGTAATTTCTACCCAGTAAAATTCACTGCTATTGATTTTTAGTTCTACGAGTTTTAGTAGATGCATAGAGTTGTGTAAATACCACCACAATCAAAAATAGTCCCATCACCTAAAATAGTCTCTTTTATGGATCTTTGTAGTCAAACCTCCTCCCACCCGTAGACACTGATGATCGCTCTTCTAACTTCTCTGCTGCTAGGTTTGCCTTTTCTGGAGTGTTAGTGAATGATATTTTACTGTAGGGTAGCTTTTGAATCTGCTTTTCTTCACTTAGGAAAAATGATTTTGAGAAGCCTTCATGTTGCTGAATGTATTAACAGATACTCCTTTTTATTTCTGAGTAGTATTTCATTGTGTTGATGTGCTATGTTCATTCACATTGAAGAACATTTAGGTTGTCCTCAGCTTTGTGTAATTATGATAAAATATTATAAACCTTCTCAGGAATCTAAGTTTACTTCTCATGTATATATGCCTAGGAGTAGGATGACTGGGTTTAATATAAGTGTGTTTTCATAAGAAGCTACTACAAGTGACTAAAGTGGCAGAACATTTTACATCTCCACCAGCAAGGTACGAGAGTTGTAGTTGTTTCACTTCTTCACCAAACACTTGGTATTATTAGTTTTGTTTGAGTGTGTGTGTATGTGTATGTTTTGCCATTTTGATAGGGACCTAATGGTACATTATTATGGGTTTAATTTGTATTTGTGACTAATTTTGTTGACCCAGCTATACTTGGTTGGATAACATTAAACTTTGAGCCAGCTTCAGTAATCCGATCCCTTTTTCCATGTTATTAATGTTTTCTGGCCTTTTTCCTAGTAGCTGCCCTCTACTCTCTCCTTTATCATGACCTTCAGTGAACCTTCTTGGGCCAGTGGGCAGCTACTAACTGACTCCACAGGAACTTTTCCCCTGAACTGACCTTCATCATACCCTCACCACAGGTTCAACTGTAAGGATAGCCCAAGGCAGGTCATGGTAATTGGTTTTCTCAGCAGAGCCCTGGCTTCTTTGTCCTGAGGTCCCAAGGAGGTGACCAACAGATGATCATGCCACCTGGACTCAGTGCGTTGCCAAAGGGCCAGTGGTCAATTTCCCTCTGCACTCTAAATTGATTCCCAGAGGTAAAGTGGGACACACAGTCTTGTACCTCATGCTCCCTTCTTCCATGAGCACCATCACAAGCTTATCTATCTTCCTGGAACTTCTGAGACTGCCAGAAACAACAATACTTCTGATTACAAACAATGGTGGGAGGAAGTATATTTAAGGTTTATTGGGTGCTGAGTACCTCCTTGGATGAAGAAGAGTTAGAATGTATGTCTCAATCTCCATTTTGTTTTACATTGCATGTAGTGAGGATAAGTAGTGTTTCATGATATTTTTGTATCAGAAATATATGTTTACATTCATGTATGCACCAACATGCATATATGGAATATGAGTCCCCTAGGTTGCAGCATAAACATATATGTTACTTAGGTTATAGTCCAAAATTTGATAGCTATTGGCCTAGGGTACAGAACAAAGTAACCTCCAAACTTACAGTTCACTTATGCAAGATATGGAGCCAAGAAGCAATTTGGTAATGATATAAATGGGAAATGGGGAAATGTCCTGGTTCTTTTAGAGGAGAAGGAGATTACTGTGGCATTATTCACAACTGCAGGAGAAATACCTTCAGAGCTGCAGAGGATTCCCTATAAATCTATTCTTCTGCACCTTTTCAGGCCCCATCCTACTGATTTTGATCTCAGAATAGGTGGAGCTCTCAATGGGAAAATATGGTAGTAACACTCCTTTTGCTGAACATGTTCACCTGTAAGAGCACAACAGGTGGCTGTGTGGCCAGTAAGCCATGTGGTAATGTATTAAGCCAGGAGGCAGGGGCTGGGGTGATAGGAGCTCCACAGGAGCAATGGATCATAAGCCCAGGGTTCTGGATATGACCTGTATATTTTTTTCCTGGAAGTCAAAAGCTAGGCCCTGGTACATGTTGAAGGGAGACAGTGTTTTAGGAGAGAACATTCACCGAAATCATTATTCATGGTCTAGCAGAAAAGGCACGAGCTCTGTGACCACAGAGACACTGAAAGGCCCTCAACAGGCAGCATATTTTAGAAAAAAACAAGATTCTGTTCTCGTTGAGGAGTGATTGGCATTCAGTTTTATGAGAAGTACCTCTGCAGTTGGTTTTACAGACCCAGGGGATCTTGGAGCCTCATGGTCCCTAAATGAGAACTTGAGATGCCACCCTTTTGTCAGATGGTACTGACTTGAAGCTAATAGGGCAGGGAGGGCACCTCTGGGGAAAGGCATGACTTGGGCGCCCTGCCCCATCCCCCACCATGGTGGCTCGGTTCCTTTTCTACTCTTCGTTCAGGGCAGGAATCTAATCAATTTCATTGTTAGCTATTTGTCAAATCTCCCTGGTGGTGTCCTTCCCAGATAATTCTATTTTCTTGACTTTCTCCTTTCATTTGTTTGTTTGTTGTTATTTGAGTTGGCATTTTCTTTCAAGGCCAGTGAGGTTACAAAAAAAAGACTTCTTATTTCATCAACTAAATTATCTATCTATCTATCTATCTAGATATAAATATATATTAAAAAGACAACTTACTTCTGTGGAGGAGGTCTTTCCCTTTCCTCCCATTGGTATTTTTCTCAGAACTGTAATAAACCTTAGGTAACTGTGATTCTTGAAAAATAGGGAAATAAACAAATTTAAATTTTGTGATAGCTGTGCATTATCCAGAAAACCTTCTCTTCAACCTCCTTGCATGTATGTGTGTTTGTGTGTGTGTGTGTGTGTGTGTGTGTGTGTGTACACTATTTGAATTACCATTTGGATTTAGAACATGCTGGAACTTCTAAAACATGTTAAGGAAATCTTTTTTTTTTTTTTTAATGCAGGGCATTATCACAATGAATCGCTGTTTTTCTTGATCAGCCTGTAGAATAGAAGGAATAAAAGTTTGAGTCAAATTTAAACCCTAGAACCCTTCTGGTGATAAATCCCCTATAATCCTCTAGCTAGTTGCTTTGTCGTGATGCTCTTCTTCCAAATGCCAAGGGCATGCAAATCTCAGTACATTGGCAACTCTGGTAGAAGTGCTCTGCATTATCTCATGGACCCTTTGCCAGCAAACTGGGAAATAGAAGAGGAACAGGGCTTTTTCCACCAATTGGAAAGTGGCTGGCTGAGACCCAAAGACGATATGTGAATTACCCAAAGTCACAAGGACAGAGATAGTTGCCAGATCTCTAAACTGGAACATCTGCCCAAAAATATCTACCTTACTGATTGGGATGCCTGGACTTCACTAGTAGGGATTATCTCCCCATGCCTTGAAAACACATTTACAAGCTCTCCTGAGCCAACTCACATGTTCTCTGGAAGGGGTAACTCCTGCCGTTGTTATCAACCACTCCTTGCTCAGAGGGATTGTGCTACGAACAAAGAACAGATACATGCAAAATGGAAAGAAGCTAATGGGTAAAAAAGGGGAAGGATTATTTGGGGATGATGATGTAAGGTACAGAGATGAACTCCTTAAATCCCTTTCACAGACCACAAAGCATACATTTCTCACCGTGCTCCTCCTCTTTTCTTTTGTACCCTTGACCCCAAACAGAAGATGCTGAGGTTTCTCCTAGGGCTTCTCCTATATTGCTGGCATTTTGACCCAACATGGCTTTCCACCTCTCACCTTTTTTCCCAGGTAGCAGGTATCAAAGGGGTATTCCTGGCGAACAAGAAGGTGGATGACCAGGTGAAGACGTACATCACTTACAACAAAGGCAGGGACTGGCGCCTACTGCAAGCTCCAGATGTGGACCTGAGAGGAAGCCCTGTGCACTGCCTACTGGTCAGTCACCCAGTCTCATGAGAAGGTCACAGGGCAGGCTAGCTACCTGGGATGCTGCATCAAAGACTTGCTTTCATTAAGAGCTCTTAGAAACTTAGATGACACTAGCAGCAGTCTCCTACAATTCTCCACATGTTGCTTTGAGGGCTCAGACTGCCACTCCATGAAGGCTTATTTGAATCACACAGCTGTTCACTAAGAATCTACATTGTACCCCACTCATAGTAAGATAGATGTATAAGAGAAAATGTCCAGGCTTCTAAGTTTCAGACAGAGCTTGGTAGTGGTAAGACCCCTGTTAACTGGTGCTGATGTGATCCTGTTTAATAAGTGCTTAATAGAGTCAAGGTAAACAGGATTGCCTTGAAAGTCCAGGCAAAGTCAGGCTGGTATGTCTATATGGAGTAGTTAGTAAATATGCTGGTTTTCCCAGATTCCTGCTAAACAGAATACTGGGGCAAACATGGAGAAAATGATGTATATGATGGCATTTCTACCCCCAGAGGCTGCAACTCTAGGTAGGTAGGGAAGGCAATTAATTAACAATAGAATGCACCTTCAGTGTCCTTTAGGGCTGATATCAGAAACAATTCTAAACTCCCATGAATGACCCTTTCTCCTGAACAAAATATTGTCTTTTTCCACTTATTAATAAAGGTTTACTGGGGACCAGTAGGTGGTGTGGTAGTTAAGGCCCTGGACTCACACCTGGTCGAACATGGTTTGAGTCCCAAATACCTGGTGGCTCGAGGATTGCACAGGCATGGCCTGTGTGTATGTGCATCCTGATTCCCAAGAGGAGATGGGATTGTGGCATGGCCATCCCTCTGGAGGGTGATTTCTCACTTTCCTTCTCTGTCTTTCTGTGGTAAGCACATGTGCTCTATTGAAAAAAAAAATACATTAACTGCTTGTCAGACTTTAGAGTTTATGTAAAAAACGGGATAGTATGATAAACACAACAGAATAGACCCTTGCCATTTTGTATTTTTCAGTGTAATTTCATGGGTTTTTGGTTTGGGTTTTTGCTTTTGGTACTAGGAAGGTAAGAGACAAATGGCTTCCTACTTCAAAGAATGGGACACAGCATGATTTTTTTTTTTCTCCTTCAAATCGTACACATGACTTTATCTTATTTTCTTGACCTAATTTTCTATTTTCCACAATTTTGTCATCTCTTTTTAAAAAAAATATTGTATAGGACATACCTCTACACTCCCTAAGCCCTTTTAAGGACATCCCAATGAGGATAAGTAAGCAAGTACATAAAGAACACAAACTTATGTAAGTTTTCATTGTTGTTGTTGTTATTGTTTTTTAGGGAGATTTTTGCTATAGGTGTGTACACTCGCCAGAGAGACAGAAAACGAGAAATCACCTCATGGCCACACTATAATCCCTTCTCCTCCATTCTCCTCTTGGATCTTGAACATACACACACACACATATGTTCAGCATGAGTTTTAAGCCGCCAAGTCTTGGACTTGAACTGCAGTCGACTATGTTGGGGTTCAGTGACATTACCTTTACACCATCATCTGGTGCCACAAACTTGTGTAAGTTTTATACAATAGCTTCACATTTAAGCAAAATTATAAACAGGAAAAAAATAAGCAAAACAGAAACAGCAGCAATCTGGTCAGAGAAGGCTAGACTATTCCATGCAGCTTCCTTACTTCCTCTCTCCTGATGGCCCCTTAGAGCTGTAAGAAACAGAGTTGATGATCAGGGTCAGTTATGGGACAAGGCCATTGTCACCCTGTGGTAAGGAATGGTCAGGGCAGAATCTAAAGCCATCTGTAAACTGGGGGAGAGGCTCATATTGTGGCTGGGAGTAGGGGCAAGACGGGGCCTATGAATAGTGCACTGAGAAATTTCTAATGTGAACATACCAACTATCTCAGAGATGTCTCCTGCTCCAAAATAAGTGTGTTGCTCAACACTAGATGTTTCTAGAAACAAAATACCCAGAAGTGCTAACTCTAGTGGGAGAGGAATGTGTGTGTCAGGAGTTTCCTGGAATGAAAGTATTTTCTTCTCCATTTTAGCCCTTCTGTTCCTTACACCTACACTTGCAGCTCTCTGAAAATCCGTATTCCTCAGGAAGAATCTCTAGCAAGGAGACAGCCCCAGGACTTGTGGTAGCTACAGGTAAGGACTGTTTCCTGGGCTTCTCTCTCACTGAGGGCTTCTGGAACAAGTTTGTTACCTATTTTTTGATCATGGACTTATTTGTACATCAGATGAAAGCTATGAGCCATCTCCCAGATAATATTCAGGGTTCATGGATCCCCAAAATCTTGTCCTAAGAACCTAGGATGCAAAGAGCTCCAGACCTTTGTAACTCTAGCTTAATCCACCAACCCCTCAGTCACAGAGCAGTCCCCAGTGTTTAGCAAGAAGCCAGAGTTCTCAAAGTAAACTGACTGATCGGAAAGATTATTTATAATTGGGAACTTGCGCTTTAAGAAAACATGATGTATGAACTTCCTGGTATCACCAAATGCAAGTTGGGGTAGTTTTCTCTTTACATAGAGCTTCTTTACAGAGAGTTTTGCCCCAGAGCTGTTTTTAATCGAGAGGTCTCTGGTGCATGTAAAGGTTTGTTTACACATGATTAACCACTTGACTGAGAGCCTGGGGGAAAGGGCAGAAAAACTTAAGTTTGCATTGTTGAAACCACTGTCCACTGAACATCCATCAGAGATGAAGATAAAGCTACTCTGAAATGAAAATGAAAGTCTCTGGGGGAATGTGCTCTGATTAGCATGCATTTGATTTACATACACCTTTTCAGGAATACATTGACAGCATAAAGCAAAGCAGGTTTCTAATCTTAGAAGTTAGAGCTCTGGTGTCAGGTGGCATTTTTTCTAATGAAAGCAGATGAATTCACAGAGGCTTTCTGAGCTGGCACAATCTGTTTTTTTGTTTTTGTTTTTGTTTTGTTTTTAATCCCTTCATCAACCTGAAGCTGTGGTTCCTGGAGTTCCTGCTGTCCTTAACATAGCTTTCTTCTTCAAGCCTCCACCTTTATGAACTTTTAAATCCTACCAGTGACTCACCATTTTCATCAGTTTGACAGCCAGTGTAGCCTTCTGGCATTTTAGTCAACTCCCTACAACTCCCTAAGTTTGGAGTCTACCATGTTGACCACCCAGGGATTCTGGAACAGTAAGAAATGATGGCCATCCTCCTGGCTAGGGGAGTGATCTCATACTCTGTAACCCATGTGGGCTGGTCCTTCTAACTGAGGAGTTGTTAATATCCAGTGCGTACAGGAGGCTCAGGGCTAGAATAGAAGCAACATTTGGAACAGTGATCAGTAATAAACTGAGTATTATTCAAATGCTTACTATTTAGCCAAGCACTGTTCTGTGTGGCTTAACCGCACTGAACATTAATGTTTTCATTGGAAAAGTGGGAATAATAGTCCTGATGTAATAGAATTGCAGGATTAAATGAAGCAATGAATTTAAAATGATGAGAACAGTGCCCAGGACATATCAAATGCTCAATATATGTTACTTATCATTATACTTAATATTATAAAAGTTTTTGTTTTTAATCCCTTCATCAACCTGAAGCTGTGGTTCCTGGAGTTCCTGCTGTCCTTAACATAGCTTTCTTCTTCAAGCCTCCACCTTTATGAACTTTTAAATCCTACCAGTGACTCACCATTTTCATCAGTTTGACAGCCAGTGTAGCCTTCTGGCATTTTAGTCAACTCCCTACAACTCCCTAAGTTTGGAGTCTACCATGTTGACCACCCAGGGATTCTGGAACAGTAAGAAATGATGGCCATCCTCCTGGCTAGGGGAGTGATCTCATACTCTGTAACCCATGTGGGCTGGTCCTTCTAACTGAGGAGTTGTTAATATCCAGTGCGTACAGGAGGCTCAGGGCTAGAATAGAAGCAACATTTGGAACAGTGATCAGTAATAAACTGAGTATTATTCAAATGCTTACTATTTAGCCAAGCACTGTTCTGTGTGGCTTAACCGCACTGAACATTAATGTTTTCATTGGAAAAGTGGGAATAATAGTCCTGATGTAATAGAATTGCAGGATTAAATGAAGCAATGAATTTAAAATGATGAGAACAGTGCCCAGGACATATCAAATGCTCAATATATGTTACTTATCATTATACTTAATATTATAAAAGTTAAAAATGCTCTTCTTGCATAACAAGAATATAATTTACTCATCTCGCTCAGTAGAATTCATATGTCATGAGCATATACTATGCATATAATGAATCTCAGGAATCCTGTTGTCCTGCTGAGCTCTGACACTTCCTAGCCTTATAAATTGTCTTAGGGTTTTTTTTTTTTTTACCTCTGGGATTTATTTTTCATGTCTCTAAAACCGGAATGTTTTCTTCCTCTATGAGGCTATCATAATAATTAAAAATGCAAGGGTGTGTGCAAAGATCCCACAGAGTGCTTGGAACATTGTAAACTGAGGTTAGTGGTACTAATTATTACTGGTAACCAGCTTATGCCTCCAAATTAGTCTAAGGTTAAATCTTTTATAAAGGAGTAAAAACACAGACATTAAAGATTTGCTTATGAATCTTTTGGGATCCCTATCTATCAGAATAGGCTAATTCCTTTTCCTGTTCCCTATGAAATCCTTGAGAATTTGCCATGTCCTGGGATGTTGGGAAGTATGTAACAAGCTGAGGGGATCCTGATGAAAAGCCAGAGCTAGCTCACTGGAGTGCACCTCCTCACACCCAGCTGTCCTTTACCCTGCTAGCCTGGTTTCTCTGGAAGGACATTTGCCATCAGGAAAGTAATTATGAAGTCAGCCAAGTATGCCTTCGGTGGCCTGTTTCCACATCCATGTCTTCCACCTGCCTTCAGGGGCTAGCAACCTTAGGTTCTCTCTTGCCTGCTTGCTTTGTCATTCCACCTTGCACTGAGATGTGGTCTCAGGGAAGCTTCATGTATGAAAATAAAGCCTGGAATTAATTCCTAGTTTCTGTTATGGGCATCTTAGAAGCAGATGGAGTTCCATCCTGAAGAGCTTGACAACTGCTTCTAGCAAGCAGAAACACCAGGGTTCTCACTGTCTTTGATGCTGTGATCCCAAGCTAGTAGTAAAGACCTTGCATCCTTACAGTGCCTCACAGTGTGCAGAACACTTGTCCTTGCCTTGATTGCACAGCACCCTGATGATAAAGAGATGTCATCACTATTCCTCTCAGTTTACAGATGAAGAAACCCTGGGTGAGTGGAAACAGATGTCATGCCAGACCCACACCACTGCTGCTCCAAGTCCAGTGCTCTGTAGGCACTGAGTCAGACCTGTCCCTTAGCCCTTTACATGCCAACTCCAAAGCTAACCCAGTTTTCTCGTAATGCTTTTTATAAACACTGAATGTTAATACCCTTTCCTAGGGGCCTTTTCTCTTCTGCAGATGGCTGTGTACCATCTTCTTCCTCCTCTACGGAGCCCTCGACCATCTTCATGAAATGGGGAAATCCTCATTCTTGTATCAGTGGTGGTAAGAGAAGCATCTTTAGCCTCCAGGGAACTTCAAAATTCTCTCTCTTTTCTTTTTTCAAAAGTGTATAATTGAAGAACAGAAAAGAGTAGAACTGAGAGGAAGTGGGAGTAAATACAAGTTATTTAAAGCTGCCCAAAGGGTTGTAGAACCTTTGTCATTTGCCAGCTAAACTGTTGGTGAAACTTCTCATTCTTCATCTTTCCCTTCCTTTCACTCTCTTGTCATGCCACTCAGATGGACAATGGCTCTCCTAACCTAGTCAGCAGCCACTTCAGCTGAGCTTCCTCAGTTCTACTTTTGATAGGCTCATTATTCAAATCTTCCCTCACCAACATCATAACCCTAGTTTTTCCTATCAGAGACTGTCCAAAAGGCCACCAAGGGAATGAATGTGTTCAACAATGAGTCATCCTGGGTACATATTTTATGTCCCTTTATCTGGAATCCACCTTTCTGGTCTCTATGATCAGTAGCATTTCTTTCAGTTCTCCTTTCAATTGACAGAGGTATTTTCAAAAATAGATCTCATTGTGAGTCTTGAGTTCTTAGTGGTACAAAGGCTTCAAAATTAGTCTGGTAGAGCTTTAAAAAGAGAAGCTGAAGATGTTGGCAGGACCAGCTTTTAAGGAGGGTAAGAAGTGATGAAGGATTTTAAGAAGCCTTGTCAAGACATGGCAGATGCATAACTCTAGGGTAACCACTTTCATCACCCTCTCTTTGCCACTCTTGATAAACATTACTAATCTATCGCCATGTTTATTGTGCTGAAACTAAATATAAAAACTAAGTTTTTCCAAATATTTCTTACATGATCTTCCAGGCCCTTACCATCAAATGTGGTTGATACTATCTGCCTTATTCCCCTTTACTTTCTTCATCTGTGTCTTAAAAAATTTCCCCCCTAGGGAACATATGCACTTGATAGAGAGAAAGAGAGAATGAGAAAACAAACCCTCAGGCTCGATGGCCACCCCACAATCTCTTCTCCTCCATTCTTTTTTGGAGGATTTTGGGCACACACACATATGTACCAAGTGTGTTTTTCAAGCCAGTGGGTGCAGGACTTGAACTGTGCAATCAGCCATGTGGCATCAGGCTGCTTTAACCAGCACACCACTAGCTGATTTCATCTGTGTCTTTTAAAACCTGTATCTTGAGAGCTGAGTTCTAAATTCCAGACAGATTTCCATAGAGCTGCTCACCAAGCTTTTCCTATCACACCTACTGCCTTTGCCCTGAGCACAGAGGTTATTTTTGGAAGCCTGAGTGTCAAAACAAGTTGGCTAGCTGTGTGCTCCCTGTTGCTGATGGGAGCTTGACAAGCTGTAGCCTGGCTTTAATTTCTCATTTTGAGGCATTAAATGTCAGGAGCTCAATTAACATTTTCATTATTGCATTTTTATTGTGCTCTTATTTAGGCTACAGATGTGTGGGAGCTAACATTCCCTTCCTGCTATTTTTAAAGAAAAAAATATAAGCCAATGTGATAAACTCTTACATGTTTAGGGTACCTTCTTGGTTTTTAATAGCTCCCCAAATGCACATCAACATTGCAACATGATTTAATCATTTGTTTACTCATTTATTCACTCCATAATATTTATTGAGCATTAACTACTTGGTTTGAGGCACTGTTCTGGGCTCTTACAGAGTGTCTGTTCATTGGGAAGCTAGGACAACATGGATGAGCCGGAAAATCTAGACACTTTCTTTTCAGTAACCATAACTACAAGGCGATGGACAGCAAGGGGCAGAAAAGGAAAGACATAGAGAAGAGAGTGGGAAAGGATGGAAGCAGTATGCGTAGTTGGCCTATGCATAAACTGGGTGACTTCTGCCATGCCTGATGGCCACCGTATGCTGAGTGCAGTCATCTTATTCTGGACATGCTGTAGTTTCAGTTAGATAGTCTTTATTATTGAGTCTCTCAGCTACCTAGTGCTCAAGGGACATGCTGACCAGAGTAAGTTAGAAACACACACATAGGCACACATCCCTGCGCACACATATATGTACATACAAACACTTTTTCTTAGCTTAAAATTATATTTAAGAAGTAAGGAGCCTCTATGCTCAACATCTTTATACAGGTATTAGTCAGGGGATACCTGTTAAGAGCAATTTAGGAGAGTATTGGTGCACAGAGTGAATAATTCAAGAGACCCAAGCTAATCTATATTCAATCTCCAAGTCTTACCATTTAAAGATGCATTCCTATCATACTGTTTACGTTTTTTCCCCCATATTGGGTTTTCCTTCCTGCTGGGTTTTTGATATGACACCAAGAACGAGACTACACAAATAACTGTAAACATTCCCTTGGAAAACCATTACTCTCTGCTCACGCTGCCCCCAGCCCTAAGCACACTTCATCTGTGAACTGCCTGACCATTTCAAATGATCTGTTTATGTTTCAGGCAACATTGGCTCAGAGCTCTCCTATACTGATATCGGTGTGTTCATCTCTTCTGATGGGGGCAACACATGGAGACAGGTAACTGGGATGATTCAGGAACAGGGAAGAGACATTTAGAGTAAGTTCTGCCAACATCTCTCCTTCCTATAGAGTTTCAGGCTCATTACCACCTGGTGGTTGCACAAAATTTGAAGCAGCTGTTACGTTTGGTCAACTTAGCTGGCAGATTAGAGGAGTGAAAGGTTAGGAGTGAAGAGGACTGGGCAGAGAACAGAAGAACTGAAATTTTTATCTTTAGCAATATGTATGGAACAGCCACCAAATGCTAAGTACTGTGCCGGCTTCTGGGAATACAACTGATAAAAGTGTTTCTATCATTAATGTGCCAAAGGATCTTGGCAAGCATGTCTCTTCACCTTTCTGGATCTGTAGCTTTATCTTTAAAAAATGTAGGGATTAGAATATTAAAGCTGGCAAAGCCGTGGAAGTTGGTAGTTGTTTAAGTATTGTGTAGATCCAGCCTTAAGTAAGTGTGAAAAAGCTTAATGGATATATGACTACATGAAAAATTAATTCAATTTGACAAACATTCATAGTAATGCTGTCCAATAGACATCTCATAATGATGAAAAGGTTTGAATCTCTTCTGTTCCATGCAGCTTTTGAGCCCCTGAAATGTGCTTAGTGTGACCGAGAAACCAAATTTTAAATTTTTATTTATTTAAAGTAATTTAAATAGTCCCCCATGGCTACTCCATTTATACAGTGTTATTTAGGTTTCAGGAAGAAACATTAGAAGTCAGTTGAACATTTTAGAGTCCCTTTCCTCAAGGAGTTCAGAATTAAATGGAGCAAATATATTCAAAACTAACTATAGATCAGAGTGATGGTATTATTTTAGCGACATTTTTAGCATGCAAAGAAAAGGGAGGAATCAATTATACTGGGGAAACTGGGAAAGACTTCATAAGAAAAGGTGCCATTTTACTAAGTCTTAAAAGTGAGAGGTTTTTATCTGGAGAGAACAAGGGAAAAGCCCTGATGATAATGAAATCGCTAACAGAAATCTAGCTGGACAAGTTTCTATTTAGATACCTAGGTGAATATAGCCATTACTATCACCAACATCATCACCACCACCCCCATTGCCACCACTGTTACCACTATCACCATTAAAAAAATTGCCAAACATCTACTAAATGCAGTAGATATTTAAAGCACTATAAGGCATACAGTGAAGAATATGTCATGGTTTCTACCCACGAGGCCACAGTCAGAAGATGGATTACAGAGTTATAAATAAATCAACCCTTTAAAATATAAGATGAGATTATTACAAGTTCCAAAGATGGGTAGAAGTTGGAATGTACTCATCTGGTACAAAAACTCCCACTAGATCAGCTAATTTCCCTCTACTTTAAGAAATAGTTCACTTGGCTGGCTGGCCAATGCAACATTCCTTCCCATATGGTCAGTAATTTCTCTTACTTTTTCCTTTTCCCAAACAGCTAAGGATTCTTCCTTTTCACTCCAGTGCTGGGTATGGCAATAGTTAGCAGTGGCCAGAAGGGTATTATCAAGAGGAAAGTGTGAGAATTTTTTCCCTTCTTTCCAATGCCAAAACTCTTCCTGTGTTCCTCTTCCTCAGATGTCAACTCAGTATCTCCACTATGTGGTTTGTCACAGAACTATTCTTTAAGCTCTGTAGAGAAAAGCCTAGCATTGTAGACTGAGAGTCTATGCCCATATCTGATACATAAGTGAACACACTTAAGTCCTTTACACATTAAAATCTACCATTAGTAGGGACATTTTGCTTTTCTTTAAAAGTAAATGTAAAAAGGAAAACCAAGTAAGAGGTAGAGATGGTAAACCATTTTTTCTGTACAGTATTCCCTGGAGGAAATACATAGATGGCTCCATTTTTTCTACTCATTCCCCCTTTAAATCTGCCAGTACCTCTTTATCCCCTTTTAGCCCTCTTCACTTATCCACCATCTCAACTTCTCCATCTAAACTGCAAGATCACCATTGGTGGTTAAGTACTGAAAGAATTGTCTAACTCTACTTTCTGCTACAAGATCTAAAGTTGAAGTTATTTCTTTGCTGCAGAAATATTTTCCCTGTTTCAGTTTGGAGATATGAAAATCACATCTCATTATAAGCATTGATATCTGTGGGATTAGGTCTGAAGTTCTCTTAGCTCAGAGCCTTGTGCCATAGTTTGTGTTTAGTACATACTTATCGGCAGATGGATGGTTGGATCACCAAATGAACGAATGAGTAGTGGACATTTGGGTAGGTAATGGTAAGATAGATGAAATGAAGAATGAGTAATTTTTGGTCACTGGAAGTCCTGTGTTTCAAGGATCACTTAAAGTAAGAGCTCACAGGCAACAAACTCAGGTCTTCATCCAACTTGCAGGGGAACCTAGGAGATCTGTCATCGTGCATACCATTTTTCTAGGGAAATGATCTTTTAAGTTCCTAGTAATTTACAAACAATATTATAAAACATAGACCATTTATAAATTAGAAGACATCTGAATAGATGAGGAGGAAGAGAGGGCTGAGTAGTAACTAAGATGAAAAGATGGAGAAGTTTATTTGAAGCCGCACTCTCCTCTGGGTTAGCTAGTTGAGCATACACCTTGTTGCCTTCGTTCGTGTATTGAGAGAATTCTGGTTCTCGGTGCTAGTAGAAAGATCCCTGGAAATGCCATTTGAGTGGCATCTGAAGAGTTATTTGTTCTTTGAGAGCCTATTTCCTCATCTATCAAACAGAGATAAAACTTGCCTAATTATTCGATAGAATTGTTGGAAGGCTCAAAATCTAGATTAAACAATGTATATTAAAGACTGTACACTGTTAAGCACTATGCAAATGTGAGGTGTTGCTATGACTGCTGTTGTTGTTGTTCCAGATCTTTGATGAAGAGTACAATGTCTGGTTCCTAGACTGGGGTGGAGCCCTCGTGGCCATGAAACACACACCTCTGCCAGTCAGGCATTTGTGGTAAGGACAGTTCCCTACCCTATTAATGAGCAGTATTTCAGTGGAGGCGGTGGGGATAAGTTATTCTGCATGCTTTTGTATCCATTTATCCATTTTCTTACTCATGTAATCATCCATCATCCATTTGATGTCCATGGCATTATCTAACTTACAGGTAGCAATAGTAGGTGAGATAATGCATATGGCAGAAGTGTGATGGGGAAAGCTGGTAAGATTGGCTGGTCAGATAAGGCAGGCAAGAACAGGAAGAAACTGTAATTTCGAGCAGCCAAATTTAGGAACCCAAAATATGAGATATAGAAATTGCTGTAAGAGGAGGGTAAGGTGCAAGTTAACAGATACCGTGTTCAGTTCTAGATAAGTTGTGTTTGTAGTTTATATGAATATTCCCAGAGAGGTGGCTATTTGTGGTCAGATATATTCATCTAAAGATGAAGGAAGAGGTCTGGCTTGAAACTTTAGATTTGGAGCCAGTGGCCACTAGGAGGTAGTAGCAGACTCTGCCTCAAGAGAAGGGGAGATAATAACAAATAGAAATGAAATATTTCTATGGAATCTGATGAAAACCAGAGTGGAAGAAGAAATTATGGGACAGACTAAAAAGAATTGACCCAAAACACAGAAGCTCTGAGAATATGTTTTCATGAGAGCTAAAAGAATGAGTGATCAGTGGCATTAAATTCTACAATCAGATCAATTCAGTTATTGAGTGAAAACAGTCTAGGCATAAGCAATATGTTGATGATGTTTGTCATAGTAGATTTTAAACCGAGTTGGGGCTGCAAATTAGATTGTAATAAACTTGTAAAAGAATGAATGACTCAGTGAATGATAAGCAATGCAATGAGGTAGAGACACTATGGGAGAGTAGATTACGGACAGGAACTGAGAGCATATGTGAAACCCCTCTAATGAAGACAAAAGCTGAGTGAAAAATATATGATGATGATGATTTGTTATCATTTTGCTTATGTTTCTGGCATGGGGTGGATGAGTTTCATATGTGTTTACATCTGAAATAATTTTATGCTTCAGATTCAGTAAAATGAATATGTGAAAGAATGAGTATTTGGAGGTGGAGAGTATGCTATCTAGAGTACAGTTGATGGACAGGAGGATGGATACTGGCTTAATTACCAGACTCATGGTTTTGGGAGATCAACACTTTCAAAATAAGAGCTCTACTGGGAGTCATCAGATTATAATTAGAAAAACCAACAGGATTCCCTGTTGCCAAATCCAAACTTCAGCCATCTTGGCAAGGATTTAAGAAGATTTCTCTCAGTTTGACCATTTTAGGTTACATCATATGCAATTTCCACTTTTAGGTAAAAAATGGTGAAATGTTAGCTTTTTTTAGAGCTAAACAGCATAAAGAAGAGTGGTTATACCTACCATTATATCATATTATAGAGAAATTATAGAAATACATTAAAATATATCCAAGGAAATATTTGTAAGAAAAGTGCTCTACCAACCCAAGGATAAAATTGTAAAAGTTCACCATTTAATTACTTATCCTTGTACTACTGATTAAATACTTTTTTAGGATATCTTTTTAGACTAGTAGCTGAGTATTAATAATGGTCCACATTTTCTGAGGGATTATTACATCCCAGGCACTGCTCTAAACTACATGAATGATATGATTTAATTTTTGGATTAACCCTATGTACGTGAGTTCTTTTTTTAATTACTCATTGATGAGAGCATCAAAATGCAAACATATTAAATATTTTGCTCAAGGCTATATAACAATTACCTAGTACCACACTGGTTCTCTGTTCTAGATGTCTTTCTCTTTTAATGGCTAATTTTTGAGATACTGTAAGGAGCACACATGGTTCCATGTGAGAGATCAAATTCAAGAAAAAGCATTTAGATAATCCACTCATCCCCAGAAATCACATCAGTATTTGCTAAAGGATGTTGGCTGAGTGTGTTGCCGAAATACTGAGGCAGAATGGAATCCAGCCTGTCTGTCCAGGAGTTTTCCTGCAGCACATGACGTGAGGGCTGATCCTTCAAAGCAGGATATGAGGAGTTGCAGGAATTGTGGGAGGAAAGCCATGGGAAGAGAAAATTCTAACCAAAGCCTAGAATTCAGGAAATGCAGTCAGTATTCAGAACACTGTATTTGATTGGTGCCAAGAATGTAGTAAGTAAAAATAAGACTCAAAACAATTTAAATGCCAGTTTAAGGGATTAAAGTTGAACAGGCAGGTGATTTCGTCCTCTGAAGACCCATCTCTTTGTGGAGAAAAGAGCTACATCCATTGAGGATAGCTCAGTAGTACTCTCAGAGAGGAGGGCTGAGTCCTAAAACAAGGTAGTTTGTTAACCAAGAGAAGCAATGTTTCTTAGCCTCCATAATTGTGTTCTAAGAATCTCCATCTAAATCTCAATAAGAGAATTGATAAATGCCTTGCAACGAGATAATACCTGGACCAGTGTCTTTCCCTCCAGTCCTGGGAGAAGGAGGTAGTAACTCTACCTTTCACTTGACCATAGCCCTCCTGTTCTTTCTCCTTGATTAGGGTAGGGATCTATCGCTTAGTTAATGGTTGAAGTTTAGAGCCTTTTTGCAGATAATCTTTCTTTTTTAATGCGTGAAGACAAGAGTTTGTTTTCATTTATTCCATTTAGTGGTAGAAAAGCAGAGTACATTTAGCATCAAAAGAGTGTATAGAGTATGGAGTCTGGAAAGATTTTGGCTTACATCTGACCATTTATTCTGATCTGTAGTGGTTTCTCGCAAGATACTTATTCAGTCCCTAAAGGAGCATTTGTCTGGGAAAGCCTTGAGGGAAGCCATCCACATTGGAACTATTATTCAATATTCACTTGGGGATATGTAAGTAGGATCAAATCATATCTCTCAAAGATATACATAAAAAGTCTGAGGTCTCCTTTATTTCATATAATATCTCTTTTCTCAATAACAATAAACTCTAGTTCAGAAAAAAAATAACTGCATTCCCATTGAATTTCAGGTGATTTTTTCAAACTAAGCCTTGGAGATAGAATTATCTCCATAAAAGAATGTTGACACTGTCATTTGTCATAAATGCTACAAATATGTTTCCTTGACCTTGCACAGGAACTCTGATGTCTGTTTTTTATATGCCTATCTGTCAGTGCTATTCTCTGAAACAATCCCCACTAAGGGTTAACAGCCAACCACTGTATATACATCTTAGAAAACAACAATAACAGCAAATAACTCATTCATAAATTATCCTTTGCCAGTCTTCAAAGACTAAGCATTTTATAAGGACTTGACCATGTCATTATCATCAATACTTTCTTTAGAATTTTTGGCTGCTTTGTCTCCTGCTTATGAAATGTAAGCTTCTGAAACTCAAATGCAGTTTCTTCATCACCTGTAGCTTCTAATTGAGTCACAATCATAGGAAGCGAACAAACACTGTTTTTCATTTTAAGTGGGAGAAAGGTTAAGTAGTCAGTTCATTGTTATTTTCTGTTGTAAATCTCAGAATGACATTATTGTGTGTGTGTATATATACACATATATATTTCCTATACATATATGTATGCATATACACACATGTATATATATGTATATATATATAGATATATATGCACATATGTGTATATATCGGTATATATAATATATATACACACACACATACATATATATATATATATATATATATTTGCAATGGAAAATGCAGCCTACCCACTCTCCTACAAGGGTACGGTGGCTCTCAGATTTAAATAATATCTACCTCGTATTTCAGAGAAAATAGGAATCATAATTGAAAAGCTGGGGAAACTTTAGCTAGGCTAACAAGGCATGCTGTTTCCTACAAATTGAAATGATAGGTAGCCAGATAGGCATGAAGGTAAAACAGCATACAAATGAAGCCATCCATTTGTGACCATGTACATTTGGATACACAGAGATTAGAACCTAAGTGCTATTGCACATGAGCCCTCCATCCAGAATTGCCTTGTACCTTAGAAGCATTTGAGTGAAATGAACAATAAAGTCCCACTGAGAACAGTGCTCTAATGCAAACTCACAATAGACAGAGTGCCTAATTGGCAGGTAGGCTAGGGCGTGACTGTTTGTTTAGCCTTGACAAGCTGTCAGTGTCTCCTTTCACTGGGATGTTCTTGGAAACAGAAAGGAAAACATCACCTGGCCTTTTGTGTTTCTTTGTTCTTCTCTAAATGGTTGTGGGCAGAGGATTTTGCTTAGAGAAACATTTGCATAAAATACAATTGTTCCAAAACCAATAAATACCTCAGAAGTAAAAGTTCATGTGCCATTCTTAAGAACTTTTAGATGGCTTAAAGTGCCACCACCTTCTGCATGTGGAGTAAAATAAGATGAAGCAATGCACTTCACCAGAGGAAGGGACCTTGATTCTCAATGACCATTATGACTGCTTCTATGCAAGAGATTTCTAGGAAGGACTCTGCTTGTTCTTGAAAGATTCTATTCCTTCTAGGTTATCTCATTTCAATATCATAAAGTCATAGGCACAGGGAGTAGAAAAGGGTCCGAGAGGTCATGTAATCTGGGTCACACCTGGTATAGCAGATACTTTTATGACACCTTGAAGGGTTCTTTCACTTCACCAAAATACCACAGTGCTAAACAACTTGCAACTGTCCAAGACATGGAGCTCCTATCTTGTATAATGGCTTTAGGTGTTGGAAAGCTTGTTTTTCTTGCTGTTCAGTAATGAATATACTTGTCATTCCCTCTCATCAGCCTTATCCTTACTCTGCATAGAGTAAGTCTGCTCCAGAATTACACATGATTTTTAGAATTGTATAGGTGGAAAAGACCTTAAGGAATTTCTTTTTTTAGCCTTCCAGGCCTCTTGGAAATGATCAGATAATCAACTCAAGACAGATTTTCATGCATTTACTCATTATTCCACACATATTCATTGAGCATATTCTATTTATCCAGCATTACTATAGGGTCTGCAATATGCCATTGAACGGGTCAATATGATTGAGAT